GGAAAAGGATCCGTTATTATCACCACTTTAATCACATATTAGCTGGTAGCAGGTTCCTTTGATGCGTTCCACCACTGCATTTATGAAGAGCAATGCCAGACAAAAAAAGATTTTCAAAAGAAATGCTTTAAATGCTTAAAAACAAGTTACAAGAGCATGAGGAAAGATTGTTTATACAATTTGACTTCAATTATGTAATAAATATATTTATAGACTTGCAGAAGGCAAGAAACTACCATGCTAGCAATGGTTATCTCTGGTGGTGGGGATATGAAGAAATGTTATCTTATTCTTCTAACTTTCTCCTTGTGTCTGTCTGTCTGTCTGTGTGTGTGTCTGTGTGTGTGTGTGTGTGTGTGTGTGTGTGTGTCTGTGTGTGTGGAAGGGTTTTTTGTTTAAAGTGTCCATAATAGACATATATTAAATCCCACCCCCTCCCCAAACCAGGAAAAGTTTGAAGGGGAGAGCATATAGAATGATTTCTCTGAAAGACATTTTAGGAGTAATTTAGTTGAAATCCTTCAACTGCTCGAAGAAGCAGAGGAGTCAGTGACTTGCTGACCCTTGTCCCACAGCCCTTGAGGGGCAGCTCTGAGGGCAGAGACTCTGATAACTCTGGAAAAAGCAAGAGCTTGAAGGTAACCATAAACAGAGACGATCACACTCACTAACAGAGGTCTGTAAGCTACAATCCAATGAATAAGGCTTGGACTACAGAAGAAACTGCACAGCACGATTCCATTCCTCAATGTTGTATCAAGCTTCAGGACCTTGGCCAGTTCCCAAAGCCTCTCAGGACCTGAGTTTTTTTCACTCTTAAATGAGGAAGTAAAACTAGATAATCTTTAAAGTCTCCCCCTGGGCAAAAATTCTATTCTGATGTCAACAAAAATGTATTAAGTGCCAACCAGGGGAATAGTCTCAATGTCACAGAGTGACAAGGTTTATCAGATGTCCCAATGCCACTAGATCCCAGCAAGGGGGGCTACCAGCCTGCTTGGGGGATGTGAAGGAATCACAGAGGTGGAGAAAGTTGGTCAGGGTCCTGCAGGATGTTTATGAGCTGCCAGAGGACAGGAAGGAAAGGATCAGCATGTGTAAAACCGGAGCGATGTGGAAAACACAGGAACCCCATGGCACAGGGAGCTAGCAGAGGTCACCTTTCCTGATGGAGCCTGAATCCTAACTTAAGGGAATTGGGCTTTATCCAGCAGGCAATGGGGAGCCCCTCCAGAATAGAAAGTGAGCAGGCTTGTGTTTCAGGATGATGGGCTGGAGGGGAGCAGGACTGAACAGGGAGAAGGCTGGTAAGTCATCCAAAGAAGTGATCCAGAGAAGGCAGACGTGATGATATGCGACTGCATGCTTCCAGCCCTCTGAGTTAAACCCAAAGCCAAATGGTTTTGCCAGTGGAGTTACACGTTCCCTCCACTGTGCTCAAGGGCACACACTGTAAATCTTTGTGTTTGAGAAATTCTCATATCGTACATAGCTATCTACTGAGGCATTCTTTACCTTATTAATGAATGGGAGCTCTTTATAATATATTATAAAGACATTAATCCTTTTTAATGTATGCTACAAATATTTTCCCAAGTTTACCCCTGACCTTTTTTAATACTGTTTTCAAATGTAAAGTTTTCAACTATTTTGTGTACTCAGACCCATGGTTTTGCCCCATGGTTTTTTTCATAGCATATTAACCGATATTTACTCTTTAAAAATTGTTTTACCCATTTAGATTTAAATCTGTTGAGGGAATTCATCTTCATTTTTCTTCCAAAAGATCCTGTCAGTTGTCCCCCAAATTACAAGAAGCGGGAGTGAAGTCCAGCTCAATCAGGACACCTCCACTCAACTACTATCCGTAGGATAAACAAGGTCCTACTGTATAGCACTGGAAACTATACTCAGTATCCTGTGATAAACTACAATGGAAAAGAATACGAAAAAGTATATGTATAACTGAGTTACTCCGCTGTACAGCAGAAATTAACACAACATTGTAAATCAACTATACTTCAATACAATTTTTTAAAAAAGAACACCTGCACTCAATGTCCGGCACAGGGTGGAGTGATTCTTTTCCTCTCTATTCATCCAGGAGGCAGAAAGGGTAAGAAGACTTCTTGGGGTCTTAGTTGACATCTATCAGTTTCACCCTCAGGAAATTAATAAGAAATTAAGGAGGTGATGGCGTCTCTTCCAAGTGTTGCAGTTCCCAATTTACACAATGGGTTACTCAATGTCTTTGCTTTGTAGTTTTTAACTGCTTGATAAAAATGTCAGAGGAGCTTATACCTCACTGCTGAGTTCCTCCTATTCATCACTGTCACACTTTCCTAGTATAACGACGTTATCTCTGCAGGTGCCCAAGTCAACCATGCTAGAACACACGCTGCAGCTGGCAAGGGCTGAGCCTCCTCCTTACGTATACCTAAAAGGTGCCAGGCCCTGTGCTCGAGCCCAGTAAACCTTGGTTCACGTCCAACCGACAGTCAAACAGGCTTAACCTTGACGTCAGATCTTCAGATACATATTTTAGAAACCTCTCCTCCACCCTTAATTAACTCCTCCAAGATCCAAGTGAATTCTTACCTCCTCTAAGAGGCCTGCCATCCACCCAGCCCACCCAGCCCATCCTTTCTCCCTTGTCAGTACCCCCAGCACCTATGATCTGTACGTTGGGTCACAACCTCACAAGTTCAGTCATAGCTGATGTACGTGGTTTGTTTGTCTTTTTGCCCTTGTTTAATGTCTCAGTGTGGGGGAGGGATGGTGGGTGATGGTCGATCGGAATCTCCAGGCTGCCTCAGACTCCTCTGCGCCCTAGAATCTTGCGTGGGCCTGACTCACACACTTACAGCACCGGCGCGGCCCTCGTGGGAATTTAAGCTTGAGACCCTGATACATAACATTCTTTTCGCAATTAACACAGAACACTTGCACAGCAGCGTTATTTCCATGTGTAATGATACTGATGATGTTTATTGAGCGCTTACAGGATGCAAGGCACTGTGCCGAGCGCTTTGCCTGCATCAATCCGTTTACTTTGACGACCACCCTATGAAGCGGGTACTATTATTATTCTCATTTTACAACCAGGATACTGAGGTCCAGGGAGGTAAGTAATGTGCCCAAGGTCACATACAATCTGTGGAAAAACAGGGATGCAAGTCCAGGCCTCTGGTGCAAGGGCCCGTTGTTCCCACAACACTCTAGGGCCATCACCTGCATATGTCTCATCTCCCCACTCGATAATGACCTCCTTGAACGTGATCCACAGGCAGAGGTCACCTGGCCCAGGGGCCAGCGGGGCTGAAATCCAACCCATTGCTCCACTGCCAAGCCTTGCACCCATGGGACTGCAGCCCAGGGGGGCCACCTATGCCTGTTTCTCCTGAAGGCAATGAGCTGGAGACAGCCCTGAAGACCTGGGTATGGCTCGTCTCCATCTATGTGAGGCGGTCTGGGCCACGGAGAAAGGGCTCATAAATACTGATTAAATGAATGTCCTCTGACCTTTATTGCAATCACGCAGCATTGACAACAACCAGCTCAGTCACGGGATATTTACCCGTTGAGTGCCACCCACAATGTAAGGCACCGTGCGGGATGCAGGAAGGAATCAGACATGGTGCCGCCCGGAGAACTGTCTGCACCTGTGTGCCTGCCTCGGGTTTTGTGCCGGCCTCATCTGTGCAGCCATTCGGCTCACTAGGAGGCAGTGTGGCCCGCTGCCCAGCAGCAGGGCTCTGGAGCCAAAGGGCCTGGGTTCATATCTTATTCTAACACTACCTGTGCGGAATGGCGTTCACACAGCAGGTCTGAGACTTCCATCCTCTGGGAGGCCTGCTTAAGGTGCTGGGCCTTGGCTGGTGTCTGGGAACTCAGGTTTCAGAGGGTTCCCACCATCTCCTGATAAGAGGGGCTCACAGGGCCTAAACTGTTGGGCAAAGGATGTGGTGTACACTGAATACATGCTGTCCTCCTGGGAGGTGCCAGGCAGAGGGTGCCCCATGCCCAGCTCCCAGTACAAACCCTGGCACTGGGTCTCTAATGAGCTTCCCTGGTAGACAGCACTTCACATGTGCTGTCACAACCTGATGTCAGAGGAATTAAGCATGTCCTATGGGTCTCCACTGGGAGAGGACCCTGGAAGCCTGCACCTGGTGTCCTCCAGACCTCGCCCTGAGTCCCTGTTCCCTTTGCTGATTCTGCTTTGCATCCTTTCTCTGTCATAAATCAGCCTGAGTAAGACTATGTGTACGGTCCTGTGAGCCCTCCTAGGGAATCACTGCACCTGGGAGTGGTCTTGGGAACACTGATACCCTAAGACCATCATTTGTGACGTTGGACAAATGACTTGACCTAAGTGTGCCTCAGTTTCTCCATCTATGAAATGGAGGTGATTTAAAATACAATCTCTTCCCTCGGATTATGGTGAAGATGTCACAATTCAGCAAATGAAGACCGCTTAGGATGCCTGGCACCTAGTAGGTGCTTAAGAAATGTGGAGCGTGGTTACATAGTGAATAAACACTTGAGGAACATGTGAATGAGTGAATGCATGAGCTGTGGGTGATTGAATGATGAACAAAAATGGAGAAATGTTAATGGTGAACAGCAGAAGCAGGCCTGCAGGGCCCTGGGCAGCTCTGGGAAGACAAAACATGACCACCCACTAGCCGTGGGGTGAACACTGCAGGGTGGGTACCAGCCGGCTGATGGGTGGGTGAGGCCCCAGCCTGTCCAGGCAGTGACCGACCCGTCTTGCCCAGATGAAAGGGTCATCCGGGAAACTAGCCAGACAGCCTCAAGCCACACTGGGGGACCCCAGACTGCACAGAGCCCCCAGCCTTGGCTTGTGTCTGGGAGGCTAAGGCCAGCGGTAGGCTCCTACCCTTGGCTCTGAGGACAGCAAGAGACCACACACCAAAGACATAAAAAGACACACTGGGGGCGTAAAGCGGGTGTCCAGGTCAAAGATTTTCTCCTACCGTTATCTTTTCTTCTGTTGTTATGGTGAAAAGGGCTTTTAGCTGGGCTCTGTTCTAGAAAAAGGAAAAAGAAAGCACTTCAGTAAATAGGTTTTGACATCTGAGACACGGGGTAACATTTCGTGTTTCCGACCCACCGACCCACCGTGCCTGGGCCCTTGACTTTGCGGGTGGAGGCTTGTGGAGGTCTTAAAGTCCCTTTGGGGGAAAGGTCTGTGAAACCGTGATGCCTCCCTCTCTCCTAGAGGCGTGTATGAAATCCAAACACCAGTTTCCCTAATTGCCAGGGAAACCCAGGCAGTGTGCCCTGGTGGTGAAACACTTGGGGTTACGGTCAGGTCGGGCTGGGGTGAGGGATGACCCTGTGACCTGGAGCAGCCGCTTTCGCCCTCTGGGATCTAGTCTGTACCCTTCAGGAAGGGGGAGAGAATCACAGGCTCTGATGGCATTGCTCCAATTGTCAGCTCTCTTTCCAATGCCCCCAACACCTCTAAACCCCAACTCCCTATGTGTCTCCTCCCAATACCTTCTAATACTCCTCTGCTTAGAAAACATAGGAAATGGAAAAATGAAGGGTGGGCGTTATGACTGCTATCTGTCCAGCCATGTAGTATCTGAGGAGACTCAACATGAGATCATACTTCTTCCTGAGGGTAGAGTCAGAATATCTTGCAACTGAAAGGCCGTGCAGGGTAGGCTGGAGAGAACCAGACTACCCCAGTTCATGCCTGGCTCTATCACTCTCCAGCACTCTGGTTTTGGACAAGTTATTGACCTCTCTGTGCCTCAGTTTCCTCATCTGTACAATGGGAATTATATTCAACTTGGAGGGTTGCTGTGAGGATTAATTAGAAGAGTGCCTGGCACATAGGGAGGAGTGCTGTGAAAGTATTACTGCTATTGGGTGTAGCAGGTGGTGATGGGTGGTTGTATCAATGTAGGTAACCTGGCCTAGAGACTTGGAGCCGGAAGTCCAGTGAGCTAGGCAACCCCTGTGTAATCCTATCACGGCCACTTGGAGGCATTTTCCCTTGACCTGAGTGATGGTCCTGAGGTAGGAAACCTCCTGATCCATGCCCTACAGTTGTTACAGTAGCCACACTGGGAGCACTGGGGCATCCCAAATGCATCATGGGCCAGCAGGACAAGCTGATGGAGGCTTCCAAGGGAAGTCGAAATGCCACAAGCTTTCCTTTTCAGGAGGGAAATGGAAATTTTAAGAAACAAACAAATAAACAAACAAGTATTTAAAGAAGAGACACCTATGAAGCAATAACTTGGCCCTTTCTGTTCCTGAGTTGTCTGTGCTTTGGAATATTCATGGTGCCCTGTGAGTTTCAGGGTCTCCTGAACTAGTGGGTTCAAAGGCCAGTTTCTTCTCTCTTCACTCCCTCTGGGTCCCTCTTCCCTGTGTTTCCTGACACTCAAAGTCTCAGCAGAAAGGGGCTGAAAGTGTACTTCATCTCTTTGCAAAACATGAATCCTCAGCCCCGCACCTACATAAACTTCAAGGCTTGAGAAACATGTTTTAGATCACAGCCTGAAGTCAGGAAACACGGACCACGTGAGATCCAGTGATGGTTTTATAAGGTGGGCAGCATGTTTATACAATAAATGGTAAGGAACTGGAGATGAATGTTCTAGATTTTCCCCTTTGACCTCCCTTCATCTAGGTCCTGTCTCATCTACCCTTGTATGAATTTGAGGTGCATGTGTGTATGTGTGTATATCCACATGCATGTGTGTATCCACGTGCATGTGGGCACATCCACATGCACGTGTATGCATGTGTGTCCACGTGCATGCATTGTGCATTTCCATGTGCACATGTGTGCGCATCCACGTGCACATGTGTGCATGTGTGCACATCCACGTGCACACGTGTGTATCCACGTGCACGTGCGTGCATCCATGTGCATGTGTGTGTATCCATGTGCATTATGTGTGCACATCTGTGTGTGTGTGTTTGAGAAAGTAGATCTAAACATAATGCATTTCTGACAGTACCTACCTCATGCTGTGAGGATTAGTAAGTGGTAACTATTTTTATTACCCTCTCCACTGCTCTCATACCATGTGAAAATGTCAGAACTAGAAGAGATTGTGGGGAGTCTTCCTACCCCTCTCATTTCTCAGGTAGGAAAACTGAAACTCAGAGACACCGAACTGTTCTGAAAACACAGCGAGGACAGCGTTCCCACCTCTGAAATACCAGACACCAGCTCCACACTAACTTGAAGGATTTCAAGTCGGGCACCTGCATTTTTAAATAACTCCTTTATTCTCCCATTTGTAGTGTCAGCCTCTTTATGGCTGACAAGCAGAGTAGACCAACGTTCTCTTGGGGAGTTGTCGTGAGTCTCACTCAAACTTTGATCATGTTCAGCCCCAAATACACTGGACCTTCTTGCCATCCCGCAGGAAGGCCCAGGAGTCACCCAAAGAAACTGTGAAGTCCAAATGGGTGAACCGATTGGAGAACGAGGCATAGGAGCCGCTCACCATTATCAACACTCATCCACTCAGCAAATGCCGGCCTTCCATGGGCCTTTTCTAAGGCAGGCAGGGCCAGGAAGGGTGATGCTGACAGTCTAACGCAGGCAGGAACCTACAACACATGGAATCTCCAGGTGGGCAGGGGGACTCTCCGCTCTGTCTACAGAACTGCCCAGAGAGCACCTGAAGGCTTGGAAGGGGACGGAAAGAAACTGCAGGCCACGTGCAAATATAAAATCACCTCTTTTATCCCCACAAGAGACTGGAGACTATAGAACAATCTCCCTTTTACTGATGAGAAACTAGAGGCTCAGAGAAGTTAAAAAAGAAAACAACCACACCTGCCCAAGAACCATTAGTTCACTGATCTATTCATTCGTTCACTCAACAAATAATTACTGAGCAACTAGTGTGGGTGGGGCTCTATTTTTGGCACTGAGAACACACCTGGGAATAGGGCCAATGGGGTCCCTGGTCTCATGGAGTGACATCCTAGTGGCGGATGGGGGTTTACTGGGGGGATGCGGTTGACATGACACAGACAGGCACCAAGCAAAGCAACAGACAGGACCCATCAGGGGGTGACAGCCAAGGAGGTCGCCCTGGGGTGAGAGGCCCCAGACCTCATGCCTCCTGCTGCCCCACCAGCCTCCCCAGGCTCTTCTGGGAGGTGAAGCCACCCTGGCCTAACGTCCCTTCCCTACACGAGGAGGTGGAGGCTTCCAATTTCACTGGGTTTCTGAGTTTCTCACTGTTGGTTTCTGACTATTGCCTTATCTTAAATTTTGATTTTAACATATTTGGTTTCCTCTCCTTTGAAATTCAGATGGTATTTCTTCTGGGCCATTTTATCTCCATTTTTGTATCCTTTGTCCTCTGTTCTTGACTTTGCACTTAATTGTGTTCGGAGACATCTGTCTTTTCTGACAGTTTTATACAGTTTTCTCATATCTGGTCTTTACCTTTTGGGAATCTTTCATTTTATTTAATTTTATCCAGGACTATTTTTCTTATTGCAGCAGAAACACTGCACACAGGCTCCCCAGCCTTGGATGGAAGGATCTGGCAGCTGTGGGGTCCGATATTGATTCTGCCACGTGACCTGGGGCAGTCACCCTTGGAGCCTCATTTTCTAAGTCTATTATAAAAGGTACTTTCTCCAGGGACTGAAATCAGAACAAAATGACCAGAGTAACTAGAGCACGAGCTCCTTGATCTTGAGGCCGGAGATCTTGAGAATACTGTCTTGACAACACAGACAATACCGGTGATGAACTCTGGAAGGAGAGCTGGGCAGGAAGCA